CTTTCCCGGTAAGAGATTGATTCATTATCAAGGTGTTTTATTAGGAACTGGCAGATAAAATTTAATTGTATTACTCTTGATTGAATATATTTGGCGTTAAGATAGAAGATTACTGTCCATTTCCGGTGCATGATTGCTGTTTTTTTGTTTCTTCATTCGACATAGGGCCTGTATACTACATGCCGGTTCCACCCCCTGGAGCTATGAGAGGTTATCCTCCACGTTTTGCTCCATATCCTGTTAACCAGGGTCCTACAGTACTGTCTCCAGAAAAACTCGAGTTAAAGGATAGAGTCATAAAACAAATAGAATATTATTTCAGGCAAGTTATGCTTCTATCAATATAATTTGCGCTTTTAAATTTATGTCAGCGGTTTTGCTGTGTCTCTGGGAATTTCTTGGAGTATTTCCATGCCTTGAGTCCATCTTTGCTGGATAATAGAATGGCACCATGCTCACCTTCTGATATTTATTCCTTTTTCAGTGATGAAAACCTTCAGACTGATCATTACCTCATTTCCTTGATGGATGAACAAGGATGGGTTCCCACGAAAATTATAGCTGACTTCAAAAGGGTATATCTCGCAACACGAGCTTGACTTGCTTTCTTTTGCATTAGTTTATTTGTCATGTGTGTTTTACACAAATGTGTTGCTTTTAATTTATTTATTTTCACTTTTGAATCACAGGTTAAGGCGATGACCATGGATGTTGAGTTTATAGTCTATGCGTTGGGATTTTCTAATTCTGTTGAAGTGCAGGTCAGACTATCATAAACCACCTTGTTTCTTTTAGTAATAACCAGCATTTTCTGTTCTTATGTGGATTAATTGATAAAGTCTTGTTTTTGTGAATGGGGTTTGTTACTAACACATGTCGGTGGGTTTATATGAATTTTGTAAAAAAAAAAAAACTTTTTTTTTGGTTGTATTGCGTATTTCTACTGTGGTGAGGCTATCACCTAAAAATGTTGGTTAGGGTTTTGTCTCGGAATAATTGTTTAATGAAAGCTCTTGAGCCTTCTTCGATTTTTCTAACCTATGTAGGAACATGATTGGTTTCTACGGCTGTAAGGCCTGTTGTCTTTGTCAAAGCAGTATACATTTCTAATAACTAACGATAGTACCATTTTTGTCCCTCTTATCTGTTTGATCATAATATGGAATGCTGGTACTTTTACAGGGTGACAAGATACGCAAGCGCGACAATTGGTCTAAGTGGGTCGCTGGATCTAAAAAGTCAGCCTCTGAGGAGAAAATTGGAGACACTGACAAAGATTCCTCAGAGAGTATAACAAGCAGAGATAATTTTAAAAACCCTTCTCAAGGTACTTCAAAGCCTACTGCGTGTGACTGCTCTTCAGAGGTAGAACTTTTTTTCCCTTTAATTAGAGAATTCTGTAAAACTGCCAATTTTTGCTCAAGTCATAGCTTGTCTGTTGTGTGGTACAGGGTGCTCAGTCATCAAGGACCAATGTTTATGGAAGTGATATTCTGAAATCATCTTCGTCAGCTGAACGTAGAAAGATGGATGTCTTGTCCAGCGATTTTTCAAATACATTCTTGCTTGATGAGGAAATAGATCTGGAGCACAAAAGCCCCAGAAAGAGTGGACTTTCCATGTCTAAAAGGTAGTGTGTTCACGACTTGATTACTCTTGATATTGGCATATCTCTTTCATCCCTCTTTGTTTTCCAATATACCTTCTTTTGGATGTGAAACTGAAACTGCATATAAAATATTTGGAGCTGCTGCTTTGGTTTATTTGAATTTCTAT